GTCAAATTCAAATGACAAAGAAAGGAGAAGGTGATGTGTAAGCTTGCTTACTGAGATCAAATTAAAAGTGAAACTAGGGACAAGCAAGATATTATGCAGGTATAAACCAGTTGGGGTTCTGACTCTCCCTATATGACTCAGTAGAATCCTATTCCCATTAGACAAGTGAACAAACGTATTGGTAACTGGTTTAGCATCCAAAAAGGAAGATAGGGAACAAGCAATATGGTCGAAGCTCCAGTATCTAATATCCATATCTGAGCTAATGACATCAAACCATGTTGCAGGTAAGAGGATAGTACATATTTACCAGCATAGTTGGGAAATGGAGGTAGTTGTGGTGAGATAGAATAGGTTGTATGTTTGATGGAAGGAGAGAGTGGTGGAGAAGGAATCATGTAGTCTGGTTGCTGAAGCAGAAACCTAAGCTTGTTAAGCTCATCACTTGTGAAGCTAATAGATCAAGGTGAATAACTTTTGCTCTCAATGTTGTGACTGTGTGTAGAGGAGTTGGAATCACCACTATGAGAATCAGATTTCTAGTCAGGTTGTGAGACTGATCCACCTATAGGTCCTCCACCAGACATTCTTGCCACTTTGTTCTTCAACCTATAACATTCTTCTTTGAGGTGACCATCCTTCTTACAATATCTGCAAATTTTTCCTCCCCTGTCCACCTTAGTAGAGTTCTTATTGTTCTTCTCTCCTTCATTATAACTTGGTCTTCGTGATGTATCAACATTGGCAGCTAGTGCCACAGATTGTATGCCTCTAGTGCCGCCTCCCTTATCTCCTTTCAACTTATGTTCATGCTAGAGTAAGTCATCTACTGATGAGTCAACAGTAGGAAAAGGTTTCATCATGAGAAATTGACTCTGCATTACATCATATTCTGGCCTTAAACCACGGAGAAATTTTATGAGATATTTTGTTTCCTGCTTCTACTGAAAAGCTATAACAGCAGCACAAGGTCTAGTCCTCACAACAACATAGTCACATTCAACAATTGGGTTGACGAGTAGGTTATCTTGCCATAATCCCTTAAAGGATATGTAGTATTGAGTTATACTCTGATTATCCTGCTTGCATCGTCCAATATCCACATGTAAATTTGCTAAGTGTAGAGCATTCGAAGTACCAAATCCCTTCTTCAATTCATCCCACACAGTCTTAGCATTTTCATGTTGCAAAACACTTCGGCTAATTATGAATAGAATTTAGTATCCAACACAAGACCATAGTATTGGAAGCATCCCAGAGAAGAAAATCTATATGTTTACGAGCAAATATAGGAAGGACCCATCAATAAAACCCAGTTTATGTTTAGTCTTGAGAGCCATTTGTATGGCTCGTTGCCAAGTTTGGTAGTTCGATCCATCCAAAATTTCAATAACGATGGACTGACCTAGATTCTCGCCTGGGTTAATGTAGTAGGGATTACCAAATTGAAGACCCAAAGGTTGGTTTGCGCTAGTTTACTGTTGTTGTCCAGTGTTGTGAACTTGACCACCACTGCTGCTCGAGTTGATGGTGCCGAAATGAATAGCACCAGATCCAGGAGTGCCAGGTGGTGTCGCCATTTGTGAAGCGAAAAAGCGGATCAACGTTGCTATGATACCATAAGAATTTAATTAAAGCAGTTGCTAGGTTAAGCAGATGGAAGGAGAGGAATGAGGGTTCAATTGTAGAGAGAGAGAGCTGTTGCGTCCATCAATCTGGTATGTTAGAGAGTTATATATAGCTTCTCCTCTTAAACGACAGACCTAAGAATACCTAGATGTATTAGTAGATTTATTATGTTTTGCGTGCAACAATCAAGACAACTAGCGCCATAAGTGACAGACTCATAGTACTTCGTGTCATTTAGGGTCTAGTGCTTGATAATGTCAATTTGGTACCTAGATCAAGTTAAAGGTGGATATGAGTCATCATAAGTTGAGTCATATTAGATTCTTGACATCCGCAACGCCATTAGACTGTTCATGCTAGCGAGACCATTATGAAAATGTCATCTCTCGCTATTAGAGAAGTTGAACCAAACCCATTGAGAGTTGCACTTTGATTACCAATATATACCAGATGTTTTATTCAAAGATCATTTGATAAAGTAAAACGAGCTTTTATCACTATCATGTTTACACAAAAGCATCAATTAATTCAGAATTTTTTTTCTCCATCAAACGCGTACTTAGCAAACAAAATCAAAACACCGTGTCATTACGAGTGGAATCATGTTAAGTCATCGACTTCCACACCTACGATTTTGTTGGGCTGATCATGACATGATGCTTGTATTACAAACAATTTTTGTTTGATAAAGTGAAAGTAGTTTTATTTACTACCATATTTACATGAGAATTAATTAATTTAAAAGGGAATTTTCATCAAACTCTGTTGATCCACCCTATCGTCAGTGAGTGTCATAAATTCAGAAACATATATGCCCCTTTTTATGCACGATGTTGTTGATGCTAATTAGAGAAAACCCGGCCCCAAGACACCCAAAACAAAACAGCAACATGGTTCAATGTTGGCAAATTCGAAAGCCGTTTTTTCCACAAGACCAAGAAAACGAAGAATATAATTCATTTAATTAATTACGAAGAGCTTTTCTAATATAGCATCCTGTCCTAGAGAACATCGAATGGAAACCCATTAAAACGAAGAATAATAATGGTACCTACCGTCGAATGAAAATGTTTATCACCCGGCTGATAATATTATTTAAATCACATTCAAGGAATGAATTTATTTATTTAAAATAAATTTTGGGGAGATCGGGTTACATCTAGCTAAGCCGTCGTACAATCTTAGTTGGCATAATAAAAATCATCTATAAATATGGATGAGTTACCTGCATGCCTACGTAAGACTGTCAAAACGGAAATGAGATTAATTTTCTGCAATACGACGGTATTACGTAAGGTAAAACTGTAATATGTGTTGTCGTTTTGCTCTTAGGTGCATGGACATAAAAAAAAAGTAGAAAGAAAAAGAGCCTTTTCTATTTTCTTTTCTCCAAGAAACAAGGGCGATGTTGCCACGACGACACGGTATATCGTGACATCCCACAAATGGCTGCTGCGCCAGAGAGCAACAGTAGAGCTCCCTCCCACCCTCAAAATTTCAGCAACTCATAATAAATTATTTAAGGAAATTCTAGCTAGCTAGCTTTCCTGTACGTCTATACTACCACTTCAAAAGATAAACATACGTCATCTCTTGACCGTGTTGAACGATGTAATAACAACTTCTTCTGAACTCCGTCGTTATGATTTTATAGTTGTTTGCATAGGCAAATCAAACTATGATGTCACCGTAACTAGTTTGATTATATTTTTCGGATACTACTACCACAAAAAAATAATTTTGGTACGTATAGTTTTGGAAATTTTACCCTACACATACAATTAGGGTCTTGATTTTATAGGATATTTTTTAAATATAGTAGTATAATTAAGCCATTTAAGACTAAGTAAGTAATGATTAGTTTTCAGTTTTGGAGGTGAAAAAAGGAGGAGGGTAGGATTTGGAAAGGGAGTAGTAGTTGAGGGTGGAGGGATCAGTCACGTGAGCGAGAGTGTGTGGAGGAGAAGGCAAAACAAAACAGTAATAGAGAAGGAAAGGAAATGTGGAGTTTTGCCACTTTGGCCTTTGGAGGAGAATAGTAACGTACAGAAATGAAATGATTTACAGCACAACACAACGCAACGCAACAAACTTGCTTCCTTTCTTTCTTTCTTTCATTCCACACTAGCTAGCTAGCAAGTCTACCGCTTCCAATTTCCAGTTGTAACAGAAAAAGAAATGCCCTGAAAAGAACGGCTACCTGACGACGGTGATGATAATGAGGAGAAAAGACACACATAGAGGAGAGGGAGATCACGATATTACCACACTTCTATTACTCAATTCATTATCAACATGTATTTTGCTTACTTCTCAAGTGATCATGAATTTGGTGTTGAAATTGACCACGAGATTGACCGATTTACGTTCAACTTTTATTAAAGAGTTTGAAGAAATTAATTAGATGAGAAAAAAACTAGAGAATTGTAAGGATAGGAGGAATTTTGGGGAAAAGAAAAAGAGAATAGACAAAATAGGAATCGAGGCGTGAACAACGTGATCGATCGTGTGAAGTGAAAGAGAGGGTAAAACAGTTAATGTGACATTGTATATGTAGTTAATCATGTGGCGGATATGAAATGATATATAATGATGATTCAAACGGTTGTAATACGTAAAAACCGTCATCATGAACTAATTCACAAACATGATAAACCAGATATGGTAAAATACATAATTTATTTCTCATTAATTTTAATACATTCATGTTTAACAAAATAACATAAATACCTTATTTGTTTCACTACAAGTATATCATACTATAGAGATAGTATATCTGTGTATATTTACGGGAAAAAATGAGTGATTAACAATCGAATGCCTCTCTAAAAAAAACTTGATGGCTAAGAAATTGTAAGCCTTTTATAACAACAAAAATGGTGGTTGAACCCAATTTTCAAACTCAGATGATTACCATACTGAGTAATATCGTTGTCAACAAATGCAAACACAAACTTAATTTGGTTGTTTGTCATCCCATTTAATTAATTTAACCCTGGTTATCAATTTCCTGGAGCTGTAAAAGGAAAAAAAAGGGGGGGAAAGGCGGCCAAGGTGCGGCGGTGACGGTGCGGAAAGAGCAGTGAAGGCAAGCGAGCATATTTGAATGGTAGTGTTGTGATTGTGACTGTTTCGTTTTTGAAAATAATAATGATATTAATAATTGATAAATTCCAATTTGTCCACGGATTTGTCACACGCCACCTACTTAATTATAATCCTTTCCATTGTCATGCAACCCAACACCCACACTCCCACTTCCCCCAACCCAACAATCAATTCTTTTTAGTTTTTACCATCACCACAGTAATTTTACTTTTTTTACCGTGGCGGCCAGCTCCTATATATACCCTTCCCGGCCGCTTCCCTTTCATCCTCATTCATTTCATTTCATTTCCTTCTTCTCCCAAAGCGATTAAGAGCTCCGCTCCCTCTCTGCCCCGTCCATCTTACCTCTTCTGTTTCTCTTGCTGCCGCCGGCCGCCGGAGTCTCAGACAGCGGGAAAGACCGACCGGCAGCAGAGCTACTTTCACTATCCGATATACACAAATTAAAGGAGCAAACACCATGCAACATACAGGAGCCTTCGTCTTTGGCATTCTAGGTATTCTCCATCTCCATCTCCATCTCCATCTCCATCTCTCTTCCTCTCCTCCTCCTAATTATCATACCATACCATACTCTTGTACAGTACGTACGTAGAGCTAGCTAGCCTAGCCTAGCCCCCATTATTTCTTCCTCGGTACAAAAAAAAAAAAAACAAAAAAAAACTTCTTAACCATTTATGTAGATTCATGATGATAACCAGAAACCCAAGTTGTCTCCATTAGTATTTTGGGAGGGAAGCTCAGATATGCACGTCTCTCATCTAAACGCCATCCTGCATCTTCCGCCTTCTGTTTTTATCCTTATTATTCTGAATTATTATTTCTGGGTAATCATGTAAACTTGATGAACTCAACTATATAATGATACTATCATAACAGCTTCTGTATGATCTGAATAATCATCACCATCATTACAAACCCATACTTAATTAATCACCTTAGCTAATCTCTTGCTTCGTCAGTTTTGCATGATATTTAGCTAGCAATGGTTAATCATCATGATTACTTTAGCTTAATCCATCATTACTGATCATGTATCTCGTTGTTTCATCCATGGTTATGATTTGCAGGTAATGTCATATCATTTATGGTCTTCCTGGCTCCTGTGTAAGTATCAAATCATACAGCCCACCTCACCCCTCCAAAAAAAAAATAATAATAATAAGATGCCGTATTTTGTTTGATGTCAATTTCTTTGGACCAGTTGGGTTGGTGGAGTAACTAATAAACGATTGTCCTTGTTTGCCATATTTGGGACATGTAATGTACAGGCCAACGTTCTGGCAGATACACAAGAAGAAGACGAGCGAGGGCTACAAATCGCTGCCATATCTGACGGCACTCTTCAGCTCCATGCTCTGGCTCTACTACGCCCTCCTCAAGAAACAAGACGCTCTCCTTCTCATGACCATCAATGCCTTCGGCTGCGTCATCGAGACCATCTACACCGCCCTCTTCATCGCCTACGCACCCAAGAAAACTCGGGTACGCGCTAAATAAGATAACATCCATCCAACATATTCTGAATTCGAATCAAATTTTTCACACAAACTTAATTATTTTGGGACAAATGTTATGTTTACGATTGTACCTACATAAAAAGAAAAAAGAAAACAAAAATGATAACGTATGTGGACCCGGGTGGCTTTACTAATTATTATTATTATGATCTCATCAGGTGCCGACTATAATGTTATTTCTCGGATTAAACGTGGTGTTGTTCTCAACGGTGCTTCTGGTTATACAATTTGTGGTGAAGGAAGACTACAAGGTGAACGTTCTCGGCTGGATTTGCGTTGGTTTTGCCGTCAGCGTCTTCGCCGCACCGTTGAGCGTCATGGTAACTACCATGCTTAAACCTCCCACACTTAAAGTGAAACCGAAACAAACCTTAGATTCGTACGTAGACAGTACTATTTCTCGTAAGAAATTAAACTCGTGGTGTAACGTTTTTTCCTTATTCTCCCCTCCTTTTATGTACAGGCAACGGTGATCAAGACGCGAAGTGTAGAGTTCATGCCATTCTCCCTTTCCTTCTTCCTGACGTTGAGCGCGGTTGTGTGGTTTGGGTACGGTGTATTCATCCACGATCTTCGTGTCGCTGTAAGAACCTTCTTCACACTTTGATTTCACCAATTTCCGTCAACTCAAATCAATAATTGATCATTACAGTCACAGATATGAAATATGGGCTGGGCTTCTGACATGATCTGGGCTTTTAAATTGTTTTGCAGTGCCCGAACGTTTTGGGCTTCGTGTTTGGGCTGGCCCAGATGACGCTGTACGCGGTTTACAGAAACGCCCACATCGCCGACGAGAAGAGGGAGAAAGAAAAGCAGTTTGAGCTAGAGCAGCAGAAGGACAAGTTGCCGGTGAAGATGAAGAGCATTCACCGGAGGAGCGGCCTGGGTACGCCTGAGGTTCACCCGGTCGACGGTCACAGCAACGACGACGACGACAGCGACGACGAAATTCGAGGAAAGGGTAACAATAACGGCGGTGGAGGGAGGAAGGATCAAGATGACTCTCCGGTTTGAAGTTTGCAAGTCGACAACAAAACAGCTTCATCACCATCATCAATTGTTCTAAGATAAATGCGAAAATTACTTACTCTTTTTATCTCTTAATTTTCTTGGCTTCTGTTTTCCTGTTTTTTTTTTTTTTTTTTAATTCTAAAGAAGAAGCTAATGATCGTCGCTTTGTACCTCTATTTCTTTTTCTTCTTTTTGGTAATTTTGGTACTTTGTTTTCTTTTTTAATGTAATATGGGGGAAACAATGAAGTATATATAATCTTTGCAGATCTATGGATACTTTTTGTTTCGATTTTCATTGATTATTTGGTTCTTCCTCTCATCATCATTCACAACCCTATATGCTTTGAAACCCTATGTTTTGTTGACTTTGTTTCATTATTTATCCATTCAAGTCGCGTAATTGTAGTTTTTTGTGATAGGTGAAGAATTACAATACATTTGACATGTATAAGTTTTAATATTACATGAACTTTCCATCCATCTATATCATTTGTGTCAATAATCATTCCGACTTTTGTGTATATTAAATCTTTTATATGAAGCTACGCCAATTTTCCTTGTACATGTGATGTATGCAACCTTTTAAATCAAACTTCACTATTTCACAATTCAATGAAATCATCATTTATTTAAGGGTAAATATAATATATTATCCATAACTATTAAGTAGCGGGGAATTATAGCCATAACTATCGAAATACAAATTATTAGCCATAACTATTGTTGTGGGTCAAGATTTGGCTAACAGCCCGTTACTGTTTTCAAATTTTTAACGTAGAAGGCCATGTCAGCATCGTAAAAAATATGATATGATGACTGCCACGTGGGAGCCAGCTCACCATCGTAAAAGCTTAGTCATCATTACTAACAGAAGTGTTAACGAAAACTTAACAATTGGCTAATAATTTGTATTTCGATAGTTGTGGCTATAATTCCCCTCTGCTTAATAGTTATGGCTAATATATTGTATTTGCCCTTTATTTAAAATACAAGTGAAAGATACCTCCTTATAAATTATAGTCTTAGGCTCTTAGCAAGTTGAAGTTGGTTTGAAAAAGTTCTCATAGCATGGGAAAGAGTTCTCAAAATACCAAAACAATTTTGATTTCAATAATGAATGAGAAAGGGTAAATACAATTTAATATCCAAACCTTTCATTTTAAACAATATAATAGCCAAACCTTTTCGAAAACAATCTAATATCCAAATCATCAACTTTCCGTTCGTTTGACCGTTAGTTGACACTTCAAAAAAGTTCGAAGTACGACGCTTCATCAATATCCATCGATATCTTCTCTGAAAAACCACCAACATATCGTGGTTCCAAACCCGAGAAGTCCATGACTCCACCATGATGGTATAGAACATCTAAATATTCAGTCATCTGCAATGCCAAAACAAGAAAACAAAGTTGTATTGTGACAATTTTCCCTAAACAAAGCTTTTTTGAAGCGTCAACCAACAGTCAAACGGACGGAAAGTTGACGATTTGGATATTAGATTGTTTTCGAAAAAGTTTGGCTATTATATTGTTTAAAATGAAAGGTTTGGATATTAAATTGTATTTACCCAATGAGAAAAAGAGCTTCTTTGCTTCACCTTACCTCCTTGTCATACAAGACAAGTTCCAGTAAGCTACTTAACTAACAGATAACAAGAACTTGTTACTAAACCATTCAGAAACCGAAGCTGGATAAATTTCTGCAGCAGAAGAGGTTTGAGAATTGGGCAATTCCATGTCTTCAATGAAGAATTGGTACACATACATGTAGCGAAATTCTCGTCTTCCTCTGTTTCGGTTGCAACTTAAAGACGGGAGAATAAGCTTATCAGCAGAAGAAATGGGGAAGCAAAAAAAAAAAAAAAAAAAAAACAGCTCGGCAGACTAGAAAGAAGGTAGTACAGCAATGAACCCAGTTCTTGTTTATGTTAAAAATGTTACAAAGTACTCGTCTTTCTGTATTTCTTTCCCTCTCCTCTTCCCATTCCCAGCTCTCTCCTCTCTTTCCCCCCTGCAGTTAGCCTTCACAGTCTCCATAACCCAAAACCAAAGACAAAAGAAACCAAAACAAAAGAACTAACACAACAGGGAACTGGATTGGTATAAGCAGGTTCAACCTCGTCGCCAGCATCAGCCGTTGTTTCCATCTCCATCGGAGCTCCCCTGGGCGCTCTGCCGCCTCTTTTCTCTCCAATTCTCCCCCCACATCTTCGCCTCAGCAACAGCTCTTTCTCTCTCCAAATCCCGATTCGTTGCGACCTTTGCAGCTGGGTCTCTAGGTGAATCGTCCTTATCAAACCCATCCAGGTCCCACCTTCGTCCAGACCCACCACCTCCATCTTCGGCCCTCGACAGCAGCCCACCTCGCTCGTCCCTAGAACCCTTCTGACCAACACTACCACCATTTGCATTCGGTTCGTACGCCTGGTTAGCCAGGTAGGACAAGGCAGTGACAACATCACCAATTAAAGGACGAGCTGCAGCCTGTTCTTGAATGCACATAGATGCCACGGCTAGAGCTTGGTAGAGCCCCCTCATTGGGTATCGCCCTTGTAGCCTTGGATCAGCCAGCTTGGAGAACTTCCTGCGATCGTTGAACAATGGACGTGCCTAAAGAAAGAAATGAAGCAAGCTCATCAACCACACGGAAAATAACCACTAAGGAGTCACTAATCAAAACTGTTCACCAATGTGACAAGAACCGATCGAAGGACACCCTAACCTGTGTTTATTGGGGTTCAGAGATCTCAACACTGTCATACTTAATCAAGTATCTTAGACCTGGATCCTTACAAGAGTAGTGAATACCAAATGGAGGGGAATGCCCTCTAGGGACAAGAAAATCAGATTGGTAACCCGACCACTCCGAATTCAAGAACTGGTCTAAATTCGGTTGATGTTTTTCATTTTGGGTTGGGAGCTGAAATTTAATATTTTAAGACTTATTTAAGGCAATAAGGTTGATTTCACCCTTGAACTTTCCTAATATGATCACTGTGCCACTTTAATCTTAAGATTGGATCAGACAGTTACATGTATAGTCTCTTTGGTCATTCCCGCACATCAAAGCTCTCTGTGCAAAAATCATCCTAGCTAGGGTCAGTTTGATTTGGGTCAGGGGCAAGACATGTACAGCTTCCTTACTAAGGTTAGTTAAATAATTTTCGGTCGACTGTTGATTTTGGTTATATTATAGTTTCCAGTTTTACTGTAAACTGTTGAGCCAAAGCCGAGAAACCTTCAATGTCAAATCGAAACCGGTAAAAGACTACTCATTTTGCTAGCCACCCTTATAACATAATAGACATGAGTTAAGAGGAAAAGATTTGACTCACCCATGTGACGAGGTTCTGCTCTCCGTGAGGCATGCTGCTGTCAATGGCTTTACGTCCAGTGATGAGCTCAAGGAAGACTACTCCAAAGCTGTACACATCGGATTTGACCGTCAACTGACCAGTCATGGCGTACTCAGGAGCACAGTAACCGTATGTGCCCATGACTCGGGTGGAAACGTGGGACTTGTCACCAGTGGGGCCCAGCTTTGCTAGCCCAAAATCAGATAGCTTGGGGTGGAATCCTTCATGTAGAAGAATGTTCGACGACTTGAAATCTCGGTAAATCACCGGAGGGGCTGCCTTGTCGTGGAGATACTCCAACCCTTTGGCTGCTCCTGCTGCTATCTTCATTCGAGTGTTCCAATCCAGAGGTTCCTTCTCAGGTGGAAGATCTGTACATGGGAAGGAATTACAAATAACTCAGGCAACCTGAGAATACAGATCTTTGCTTCGGGTTCTAGTGAAACCTTTAATCTGGCTTTTCTACTATAACGCCTTAAACTACAAGTTGGTCTCAGAATTTAGGACTTTGGTCGAACTGAATTATCTAGAGAAGACACTCCAAGAATCTAAACTTTGCATTCACTTTGTCAGAGTTTCTGTTTGTGTCCTTCTCTATAAGCAAACTTTCTATCTACACAAAAAGGATCTTTGCTTAAACTGCAAATAAATCAGTGATCCATCGTACCTTTTGGTCCATGCCATACCCCTACTCCTCACAATTTTCAGTACTAATAGATACCCAATTGTCAAAACGATTTGCATTTAAACAGGAAGTGGTAAGTTACCATGAAGATGATCTTCGAGCGAACCGAAGGGCATGAATTCATAGACAAGCAGACGCTGATCACCATCAGCACAATAACCGATCAGGCTCACGAGGTTGGGGTGGTGTAAAAGGCTAAGCATCAGAACCTCCACCAAAAATTCTCTATTCCCTTGCAGCCCATTTCTATCTAATTGCTTCACAGCCACGACCTGCCAAATTGAGAACAAGATTAGGAAGCAAAAAAAATTAAACCTAAACCCTAGTTCAATAGACCTCTCCTTCTAATTCCAAGTTTGTATCAATGGTTAGTACGATTTACCTGACCAGTAGTTTCGAGACGCCCTTTATACACACGACCGAAGCCTCCTTCCCCTAGGAAAGACTCTGGCCTGAAATTCTTTGTGGCGGCAGCAAGCTCCCGGAAAGTGAAAATGTGAGCTGCTATATTTACGGCAGATCCATCCTTGGGAGACGGTAACTGTAATTCCCTCTTGGATAGACCAAGGCTTCTTGATCTAAGCCTTTCGGACCCTGTACATTCAGCACCCATATCAAAGAACTCTTCTCAAACAAAGATTGGAACTTTCAACTACATGACCTGGAAATTATCATGGTATTACTCCAATTGTGGCAGTCCATAAAAGCAGAAGATCCATTAATAGCATAGTTTCTGGTTTTATTGAACTCAAATCCTTATCCTCATCTAAGCTTAGGATGGAAAGAGATCAATACAAGATAAAAGATCAGATTTTGGTAGCGATAGAAGACAGAATGTAACTAAAACTTGGGGGAAATGAATCAAGACCCTTTACTACTAGCATCCAGACATACATAAATCTAAATCTGGTGGAGACTAACATCAGCAAATAAGAATTCAAATCCAAACATTTGTCCAACTTAAGCCCGAAATCTCTACTACCCAGGTCAGATCAAGCTTAAAGACAGCAAAAGAACTTCCAATCTATACAAAGCAATCAAACTCTAACTAGAAGACAACTATAGATTACCAATTTCCCGTACAAGATTCAGCTTTCTCACTAGTTGGTATCCAAATTATTATGGAAATGGTTAATGAGCTTTATCTTAGGTATTGCTCCAATTGTGTGGTTAAGCAAACTAGAATTTCTTATCCATAAGATCCATTAATAGCATAGTTTCTGGTTTCATTGAATCCAAAACCTTAATGAAAAGAAAAAGATTCCATTTGATTGCCGTAGAAGATAAGCTAAACAGAAAAATGGCAAAATTGAATCAAAACCCTTACCACTAACAATCCAGACAACCCACAAATCCAAATCCGATTGAAGAACTAAAAGCAATCATCTAATTACAATCTCAAAATCACAAGAATTAGTTCAACTTAAGCTCTAACACCATGAAATCTCAAATACCCAGATCAGATCAAAGCTTACTAACCAGAAGACAACTTGGAAATATTTGAAGCGACAGTGGGCAAGGAAGTCGGCTTTCGATCATCGGACTTCTCGTCTTGATTCAGTGTCTCCTCTTCCTTCGAAGCATCGAAACATGGGAAGCAACCCATTTCTCCTTTCCCCCGACGACAAAGTCAAAGACAAGTCTTTCCAACCTTACAATTCCTGGAAACAAAATCTCTTCCCCTCCCGAAAAAAAAAAACTCAATCAGAAATCAATCCAGAAGTCCTCGTCTAGTTAAACCCATCACAAATCAATAACCTCGGAGCTAACTCTATCTCTATCTCTCTCCCTCTACCCGATCAGTCAAATCAGAAAGAAGGAATCCCAGCTGGGAAACGGCAATAGCAGCTACATAAAAACAGAGTTATTTTTTTCTTTTCTTTTCAGCTGGTTGGAATCAAACCTTTGGAAAGGAAAGAACTTTTCCTTTTTCTCTTTTTTTGTGAAGATTAGAGGAAGCAGAAAAATGGTGTAGCGAAATGAGGGATTGAGGAAGGACGAGAAAGGTTTTGAAAGAAAGAAAGGGAGCCGGCTTTGTTGTTCTGTTTACGGCTTTGTTCTGCAGAGTAAAAATTGCCCCACTACTGCCACAAGCTGTATAAATGCGCCTGTTTTATACACACATCTCTCTCTCTCCTTTGACCAAAAACTGGTTTCTCGCTTTGCTAATTTTTGCAAATCTAAACGCGTCCCACAATTTTCAGTTGGAAAAAACACACACGGTAGAACTCGATTGTTTGTGTGGATTTGTGTGTGCATATCCATAAGTTTTAACACAAAATAAACAAAAAAAAAAGAAGGGAAACTAACAAAGTGGGTTTTCAGTATGTTTTGACAACTACCTATAAATTATTGTTGAAATCATCATAGCCAATAAAATTATTAGATTGTTTAATTACGCGTAAAAATCATTATGATATTAATATATTATAGAAACTAACTCATATTTGTTCAAAGTTGATTAAACTAAATTTAGGTTCAGCCCTTCAGTATAAGTTTTTCATTTAGTTTTATTGTTGTTACTAGAGGGACATGGACTCGCTTGGCAGCGGTTTGGGAGCAATATTAATTTTTGTGACCCGTAATTTTAAGTCACACATGCAAGATTTGATGTTATGATTTTCAGTATTATAACTACTAAGAAATTAACTTCTTTCCATGTCTAATTTAAGAGTCAAGGAAGTGATTTTGAGACGAATTTACACATATTTAGCTTAGAGAGAGTCTAGCACGACACAACCTTGGCTAAGCATGAATGACAGAATGAGTATCTCTTCATTATAACAAAATGATTGTTATCAACCAACCGTCCATGCTACAACTCCCTAATTTCTCAATTTAAGTCTTATATTTTTGTTGTCTTGCAATTATGAACGACACAATTAGCTGCCTTGCAGAAAGCATTGAACCTAGGGATGACAATTTAGACAAGACCTATTATATCCGACCTGTTTAGCCTGTTTTGGGGCTGGCCGAGCATGGGTACCCCCCTTGACTCGACCTGCCACATTCTCGATACGTTTTTCTCCCTAAATTACATTTAATTTTACTCAAATTACGTGTAATTTTACTGAAATTATTTAGGATTTTACTTTTATTATCTCAAATTTAAGCTATAAAGGAGTTGTATATGAGAACATAATTTTCTCGAATAATTTAACTAAGTTTATCATATTATGGTTTGTTTCTTGATTTTTCAATGAAAAATAAATATTTGTAATGTTTTTCTAGTTAAATTATATACACGTATAGATCGACCTGTCCCGACATGTGGCCTATATAAATTACCCAACTTAAACCTAACATACCATATAATTAGTATGGATATTGAGATACCCGCCCTGTGAATAGAACCTATCCATTGTCAATTCTAATTGAACCCTCATATTTTCCTTGTCTCCTTCTTGCGCAAATGATATAAATAAGATTTGAGTCTAGAGTGATATTTCCATGGGAGGTTGGGAAACATGTGAGGTAAAATTAATCCCACATAAATCACAAACACATGATAAAAATGCCACAAGCTCCAAGCGCAGGGTAATGCATTTTCCACTGATTGAAACAGTAATAGCCCGTTCAATTAGCAAAATCCTAATGATACAGTAACAGATAAATTTTACAATGCTATATAGTATTGGTGATATAGGTTTTTGCCTTTATAGTACAATTTAAAATTGTACATTTACGTTATGGTACAACTTTAGATTGTACCTATACTTTTTGTAAATATTCTTTTATGGTACAACTTGAACTTGTACCTTTATGTGATGATACAACTTCAAGTAGTAAAGTTGTACCATAACATAATGATACAAATTGTTTTATGGTACAACCTAAACTTATACCTTTAATGTTATGGTACAACTTTGAGTTGTACATTAAAGCACCAATGCTATATAGCATAGTAGAAGCGCTCTACCGTAACATACTTATGAGTTTAATAATCTATCTATCTATATCTATATCTATCTATATCTATATCTATATCTATCTATCTATCTATATCTATATCTATCTATATCTATATCTATCTATCTATCTATCTATCTATATCTATACTATATATTATGGCAATTCAAAACTAATCTCTTGCCACATAAGCACTTGGAGAATCCACAATTTGCCAAGTTGGACAACTTTTTTACAAATAAAAAAATTAGTTATTAATGTATTTATGGAGCTACCTCTCTCTTGTTTAATATTTCCTTTCTTTTATCCAATTATTCTTTTCATTTATCCAATTTTTCATTATTTTGCTTTAATAATAAGTTACATGTTAATAAAATGAACCAAACACACATAAATAATATTTTTTTTATCAAGTAAACAAACTATAAATAGGAAAACAGAGAGTGACACATATCAAATTTGTTCAAATAAAAAATATCTGATTAAACCTTACGAAGAAAATTTTCTACTCATTTTTACTAAAATTGAATGATAAGTTACATTTTGAGGAAAAAATTAAACAAACATACACATAAACAATAATGTTTTTATCGATCAAACAAAATATATGAAAAGAGAGAAAATAAATATTTGACATTCAATTACCTTTGAAAAATAAACTATATTACTTTATATTTTGTTGCAAAATGTTAGAGTAAAGTATATGTCTATAAAATAAAAAAATTATTATTTAACAAAATATTAGAGTATAATCTTGATCGAGTAGTTAAAGTTATTTATTTAAAAAAAGACTTCTTATTTCATTTAGATCATGTTCTACCTTTTTTTTTTACCAATAGATAACTTGTATTACCAAGGCAAACAACTAGCACAGTTTACAACTCATGAACAAACCAACGAAAAAACTCAAACGTATCTACAACTGCAGGCAACAAAGAAAGGATCTTTCTAGCCACCTTATGGGCCACCCGATTGTTACTCCTGCCAACAAAAGTCATCTCCAAGCGCCGGTAATGCTGCCGCAGCTTCCGAATTTCTTCAAGAATCCGCCCGCCCTTCATATCCCGAGCATCCATATTCTGGATTTTCTCAATGACAACCTTCGCATCCCCGCAGAATTGCACTTCGGCTAGTCTCTTCAAAGAGCACCACTGAATTGCATCACGAAACGCCACCAATTCCACCAGAAAAGGATCCTCCAGACATGCATAACAAAACCCTTGCACAAAACACACCATCCCCAACCCATCATAAACCACCAAACCCCCAGCCCCATGCGAACCAGCGCATACAACACCATCCACGTAGCATCGATAAGGCATAGCAATCTGTGATCTACAATCCACACTAACCATACCCCCTCCCTGTTGTCCCCGATTCACCCTATCCAGCCCAGACTCAACCAGGCTCAACCACTCACCAACCTGCTCCTCAAATTGTCTCACCAGTGTACTCACCCCATACTGTACATGATCAAACACCACCCAATTTATGCTCTTCCATATCCTCCAAAGAGTTGCCACAAACCGAACTATCCTCTCTACACTGGCTTCCTGTTCAAAAAAGCTACGAAGGAATAAAGCAAAATTCAACGGAGGCTGCCTCACAAGCCCTTCCTCCAAACCCGACCTCTCCCAAAGCACCCTTGCCATCCTGCATGGAAGAAACATGTGCTCCAAAGTCTCCAACGGCGCCCAACAAACCGGACACCTGGGATCAACAGCCTCCTCACCAGAATCAGGTTCCACTTCCTCCGGTATTCTACCACTCCGCTCAATTATCGTTTCCATAATAGGAAGGATCCGATTCATGCTCTGCCAAAGGAAGCACTTCAACTTTGGCGGAATGGGAAGTCCCCAAAGCTTTTTCCAACACTTCATATAAAAAAAAAGACACCTCAGCCTTCCAATCCCGGATCCGCTTGGCGTACAGAAAGGCCAAATGATACTCCCCATCCCCCTTACCTGTCCAGACTTGGCTATCTTCCACCCCACCCCTCGGCAGTGGTATGGACTGGATAGCCTGCACTATCGGCCGAGAGAAGCATTGGTCCAGACATTCCGAACACCATTCGCCCTTGCCAGGTATAAGCAGCGAGTTAACCGTTACTCCTGTCAGATCTGGTGTCGAAGCTTTCACCTCAAGCTCTTCCGGACTAACACCCGGGATCCAGTTATCCTCCTTAATTCTAACCTGGGAACCTACCCCAATCTGCCACCTAAGACCTTTGACAAGCAAGTCCCTTCCATGTAGAATACTAGTCCACCCCCATGAAGGTCTCGACCTACGTGTCACTGAAAGAATAGATGTCTGTGGGAAGTATTTCCCTTTCAGCACCCTTGCCAGCAACGTATCCGGCTCCTTCCAGATTTTCCATGCTACCTTCGCCAATAACGCCTGATTAAAGTTCTCGAATCGCCGAAACCCCAACCCGCCGTCAAATTTGCTCCTGCATAGGTTACGCCATGATACCCAATGAGCTTTGTCCTTCTCTCTTGAAAATCCCCACCAAAATCGCGCCATGTACTTATCCAGCTTACGACATAGAGTCACCGGTAAGAGAAAACACGACATGACATAAATCGAGAGGGCCGCGACAACCGCCTTTAGCAGTACTTCCTTCGCTGCCCAAGACAGTTTCTTCTGCTTCCATCCTTGGAGCTTAGCCAATAATTTCTCTTCCAGATATCGAAACGTTTCCAACTTCGATCTCTGAACCAGAGATGGAAGGCCCAAGTACCTGTCTTGAACACCAATCGCTCCCACTCCTAAAATGGTTGCCATCTCTTCTACATCCGGGGGATCCACATTCTCACTAAAGCATACCGCGGACTTGCTCAAATTCACTTTTTGACCACTCAACTCCTGGTACTCCCTCAACAGACCAAGCAACGTTTCACACTCATTCTTGGAAGCCCGGAGAAACAGGTATGAGTCATCCACAAAGAAAAGATGAGACATACTGGGGCTCTGAGGACTAACCTTGACTCCGACTAAGCTTCTATTATGTATCGCCTTTCTAATCAGTGCCGCAAATCCTTCCGAACATTTTGAAAAATAATAATGGAGATAATGGATCTCCTTGACGTAGACCCCTCGTTGATTTAAAGTAACCAGACGGGGTACCATTCATCATTACAGAGAATGTCGCTGTAGAGACACATTCCTGTACCCACCCAATCTATTGAGAACTAAACCCATCTTAGTCATTAGAGCAAACAAGAAAGGCCACTCAACTCTATCATAGGCCTTTTCCATATCAACCTTTAGAGCTAAGTAACCCTTTTCCCCTGCTTCTTGATCTTAAGATAGTGCATAATCTCATGTCCAATCAGTACATTGTCTACTATCTGACGTTCACGAATAAACCCATTCTGCTTCGGTGAGATAACAGAAGGCAAAATGCTGGCCATTCGCTCAGCCATGATTTTCGAGATAATCTTATAAAACATCTGACAAAGACTGATCGATCGAATCTGCTTCATCGTCTCAACCGATTCCACCTTAGGAACCATGGTCAACCACATATGGTTGAAACTTTTCAAAAGTCTACCAGATCGAAAAAACGATTGGACCGCTTCCACTACATCTGGCCCCACAATGTCCCAATAGCTACGATAGAATTTTCCCATGAAGCCATCGGAACCAGGCTCCTGTGTAGCTCCTATATCGAACACCGCTCTCTTGATTTCCAACGCAGTGACCTCCGCTGTCAAACTTCTGTTCATCTCATTAGTGACAGGCAAGAATTGGTAGCTCAGACACCCGTGCCATCATATCCTGTATCTGATTCTCTGATCGAAACAGATGCTCATAGAAGCCACACGCCACCACACCCTTTTGTCCTTCATCATTCACCCAAATCCCATCATCATTCCTTAATCCCTCTATGAAATTTCTCCGCCGACGGGTTCTTGTAACCGTATGAAAGTACCCTGAGTTTTGATCCCCTTCACCTAACCAATGTACCCTCGATTTTTGACGCCAGAAGATCTCTTCATTCACCCACTGCGGCGCTAATTCGCGCTCAAGTTCCATCACTCGGTCCCAATCCACATTTCCTTCACCTTTTACCGCCTCAATCTCCGTCTGGAGAATACGAATATTCTGGGTCGAGTTCGTCGTGCCCGCACGACTCCAATCATACAATAAGTGTCGAAGAGACTTTAGGCGTTGCCACAATCGAAACATAGGAGAACCAGTGTACGGTTGGCTCCAGGCATACCTCACCAGTAACCTTGTTTTCGGATTTTCAGCCCATCTCGCATCAAAGCGAAACAAAGGCTTAGTCCTCCTAACAAAAGGTTTATCAGCCACCAGCAACGCTATGTGATCAGACCCAAGGTCAGTACAATGTTTAACCACCGTCTGTGGAAATTTCTCCATCCATAAAGGAGAAGCGAGAACCCTGTCAAGGCATTCCATGATACAAGCCGCCCCCATGCGTCTATTAGACCATGTAAACTGCGGACCCAAAAAGGCAACATCCTGCAAAGCAAGACCATTAACCAAATCCCTCACCCCTGCCGACCTGTTAGGATCCCATGGTAAACCGCCAGATTTCTCCGACGCTTCCATCACACATTTCATATCCCTCAGCACCAAGTACGGCACATCCAGATTAGAACAAAATACCTGCAACTCAATAGTTTGCTGATGCCTAATCAAAACATCACTGGAAAAGTACACACACACACAAACATACTCTAAAGGGCCATTCTCATTAATACCAAGCGAAATGAAAAAGCTTGAATGCTCCACAATGGTAAGATTAACCCCAACGTCCCAAGCTAAGGCTAGCCCACCCGAAGCATTCATAGCATCAACAACAAAAAAATTCTGAAAACCGAGACCTCTCATCCTACGAGACACTACACGGCTACACGATTTTGTTTCTGAAAGGAAAACAACATCTGGCTTATTCATCATACAAAGACCAAGTAATGACTGAAATGTAAGGGACGGCCCTATACCCCTTACGTTCCAAGAAATAATCTTCATTTAATGGTTTGGGACCACTCCTGGCTGGTTTCCTCCACCGCACTGTCAACACACTTTTTCTTCACTGGAGTGGGATCAAACTGCAGACCCTCCACCTCCCCAGCAGCCCTCTTGCGTTCCTTGATCTCTTCCGGATCAGGAGCAGTCATCCGAAAAAGCCTCCTTACCCTTCTGCTTTCCCGTCCCTGGAAACGGTTGCTGCCGAGGTTCTTTAGTTTGCCTGCTCTGCAGCTGCCCTGCACCACCTCTAGGATTCTGCTTCGGCCCACTACCGCGACTGCCTTCAGCATTGCGTCCCCCAGTCTGAGGAGTATAACCTCCCCTGTAATAATTCAATTTTTTCTTGTCATCCGCCCCTTGCCCCTTATGATAAACAGTGTAACCTCCTTGGCCTCCCTTTCCCTTGCTTTTGTAGTTATGTCCACGACCCCCACCAGAGAAATTGCCACCACCATTGTAGCCACTCCCATGAGCTATCACCTCGGCCTGCTTTACTGTTTTCACCTGCACATGCTTCATATTCTGCTCCTGGTCAGTTTGCTTCTTAGCAGGTAAAGCCATCACCACTGGCCTATCATCTTCTTCTACCGCAATATATTCCATCCCTTCATCTCTCTTCTGCTTCTTACTCTCCTGCCCCACGCCACTAGTATGTGGGTTCACCCAAACAGAGGGCTGGATTGGAGGCCTCAACAGCTGTGGAATGAAGGCAGCCTCCTCCACCCGATACCCAATCACTTCCGTCGTGAGCTCGGGGCCATAATGTTCAATCCCAATTGGATCAAGGAACGAAAAATTGGGGGCTATGTGCCCTAGTCTGCCGCAATGGTAATATAGCATTGGAAGAAATTCATACACCAACGTAACCCAGAATTCACCTGCCAATGGGTTACTCGCGTACAGCTGAGATCGGAGGGTCTGCAAGATGTCAACCAGCACCTTAGCCTTGATAAAATGCCCCGGCATGCCCTGCATCGCATAAGCTCCAGCCTCCAACACTGTACCAATCTTTTCCCCTGCAACTCGCTTTCCAAAAGCCACTGTGCGGCAATGAGTGGGAATCCCCCACATCTGTACCTAGAATGGTACCATTGTGAAGGAATCCACAAGTGACTTGGTAATCTTGCACCATGCACTTGGAATATGTGTGCATTGTAGACACTCTTTATCAATTATTAATATATAACTGATAAAATCTTTGAAAATTACACATTCAACGACCATGTTAAGACCAAAATCCTCGATAGTGTGTGTGAGTGTCTTAGATTGAGATTCTAAGCCAACAAATCAAGTATCTTTATCCAATCATCTCAACTCTCAAAATTGGTTGCCAGTTCCTCCAAACTCGAGAAACAATAATTGATATATGTTGTATAAGATAATAAGTTAATGTAGATAATCAAATGAAATCAACTGATAATGTTCAAATGATAAGACATTTTAAATACACTTGAAATATGTGTGTATTGTAGACACTCTTTATCAATTATTAATATATAAGTGATAAAATCTTTGAAAATTACACATTCAACGACCATGTTAAGACCAAAATCCTCGATAGTGTGTGTGAATGTCTTAGATTGAGATTCTAAGCCAACATATAAACAATTACCATGGGTTGAGGTTTAGTCTAAACGTCAAGAATTAACAATTGATACTATTGTATAATTTACTAAATTTAAGTGTCCTGATAACAAAACTAACATCCAAAATGGAAATGAGTCGAGATTAGATAATTTAATCATCATGAGGGCTACAGTGTGTGTCAAGTTTCAATATGGATGAATAAATTGATCCAATAATGAAGTATCTTTACAACATTGGTCGAGAGTTCGTCCAAACTCGAGGATCATGAATGTGTATTGGATTTCGAAATTACCTAAAATCCCAATCCCTTTTGGGGGCTAAATACCTATGATCACAACCTTAGGTGCCAAAGAGGAATGAAAAGAAGCCCAAAAAAGCAAAAAAAAAAAAAAAACCTCCGATACGATGAACAGAATAAAACCATATCGAGCTATGATCCTGTCATCCCTACCCTTTTATTCTCCATAAAGGGGGTTGTGGGAGAGGATAAGAAAAAAATAACATGATCTTAGGATTTGCCTCTTTATATATTACATATCGAACGATAGACAACCCCAATGGTTTTCTGACGTTATGAGGGTAAAAGTGAGATCTCTATCCCGGGGGTGGGGGATAGGCAAGTAGCACTTTTATTCTTTTAATATGAGTATTAGGCGAGATAGGATATAGGTATGATGAAGTATCTAGATATTTTTTAGTCTACTATATACACACACACACACACACACATACATACATACATACATATATATATATATATATCAAGGGGTGAGTTCTACGGTACCTAGGTGATATTTTGGGTACCGCATACCTTGAGTATGAAAACGTTATCCAGATCTTAAATTGACTGATCTTTCGGACATGATACTATACTCCAACCCTCAGAGATCAAAATCTAGGTTTTAATTGGGATGTTATTGATGACACACATGTGTGTGTGTTCACCGCACGGGATATGACCCAATGGCCGACTCTCTTGCTCTTGATGGCCCGGACCCTAGCTTTGCATCCCTCATTTCATTTTTGCATCAAACCATCAGCCTCTTTGTGTCGGAATGGGTTGTTTGCCATTTTAGACTCCGAGTCATTGCTTCAGTGGAAATAGCATGCCGGACCTCATTCTTCATTGCAAATTGTTGGCCCTTCGTAAAGCCAGTGAGTGGACCCCATACTGGCACCTCTGGCGGGTCCATGTCGGCATCAACATACCAATCTTCATTTTGAATGTGATTTTAGTATGGAACAGGTACACGGTCGCGAGGTACCTCATCACCGTCTGCGTCTGAATCTGGACCGGAATCATCAGCACCTTCCAACGGATCGAAGCTGTCTGCACTAACTTCGCCTTGCTCTTCTTCAACATCAGGGTCACTAACTGGACTTGGATTGACCTCTTCTTCCATCTGATTATCATCATGAAAAGCACCTTCACCTTCACTAGCTCCGTAATGGTAGTTGTGGTAACTAACACCGCTTTGATAGAAGTTGTACTCGGGTGGGTACTGGTAGCCTGCTTGTTGGTTTTGATCCGCCTGTTGAGCTTCTTCTTCATATGAAGGGAAGGATTGATGATGACCTCCAGTTACATGATGATACTCCTGCCTCCAGCTCGAGTCTTGGAAATCCTGGTGGGGATGATCTTCGTATAATACACTCCCACTGTGGATACCAGATGTTTGGCCATCTCCAGAATGACCTACACTGCCTTCGACGACCTCGGTGTAAAGGAACATCTCCGCTTGCTTAATTTTATTGGTGGTCAAAAATTGGACCATAGCATCAACGTCCTCCTGAGTGGTAAGGAGGAATTCCTCATTCCACAGCGACCCGTCATGTCTGTTTGGATATCGATACACCATTTGATCAACTCTTCTTGTGCCATCCATGTAGGTAATCTGAGTGCACATTTGATGGAGCTCTTCAAGCATCGGTCTCGTACGGACCTTCATTTTATAAAAATTGCCACCGACGTAACTTACACCCTTTTTGGTCTCTTCCGTGTAACCATTCCACCGCAACCCAAGCGTGAACCTTTGGAATGTCATCTGCAATAAAACTGCAATTAAGTTACTAACATAAAATCACAAAGGACAATGAAAAGTAATACTAGAGGGACATGACAATGAAAAGTAATTAAGTTACTAACATAAAATCACAAAGGACAATGAAAAGACTTTAAGTTACTAACATAAAATCACAAAGGACAATGAAAAGTAATACAAAACAAACTTACGAATTAACGTTAATCGCAAAACTGAAACTTGAAAAAGGAAGAGGAGGAGTGTGAAGAAATTGAGTTCTCTGAAACAACCTTTTATAGGCGAATTTTGCAGCACAAACCGCGCGGGGGGGGGGGGGGAGCGGTTTTAGGTCTTCCATGCAGCCCCACCCCCTGCATGCCGACATGTCTGTTGTCGGGTGAACAGGCACAAACCGCACCTTGGGGCAGCGGTTTATGTCTGGACATGGTAAACCGCCGCCTGGTGGGGCGGTTTATTATGCCGACACTTAAACGCTTCCTCTTCAAGCGTTTTGTGGTAGGGTTAGTATATAACCGTGCCTTCCAGGAGCGGTTTTAGCTGGAATTTATAAACGCCTCTTGGCGAGGCGGTTATATTGTAAACCGCTGCCAGGAGTCGCGGTTTCTATGTTAACCGCCCATTCGAGGCGCGGTTTTAAATAAACGATGGTATTTTTGGAAACTGTTGGGAATGGGTGGTATTTTTGTAATTTTTTTTAAACAGTGGTAGTTTGGGATTTTTTCCTAAAATATGAGTGTATAGATTTTCGATAAGTAAATAACTACATGCAATTTAGGTTCAAAATGTAAAATGTGAGTGTATCATTCGAAAAATCAAATAGTACAGTAGCATCCAAGGCTTCTGAGAAATTTAATCTTAGAGCCCAAAATAAGAATGAGATAATTCATATAAGGAACGATGGACAATGAGTTTTTGAGTCGAAATCAAATACAAGTATAGAGAATCCAATCATCTTTGTTGCGCCCATCCCAACAAACAATTGGAAACTTAGGGTTTAGGAAGCTTAGCCGATGTTACGATTCGACTTGGTACAGATAACGACCCAGCATCCCTTCACCGCCGCGACTTCAAAACTTCCCTCGCCAATCGATCTCATCCTTCGCCGGACCCCATGAGTCATTGCAAGAGACTTCTTTTATCTGTTCCTTTTGGTCAAGCATGACCTTCCCTGTTCTCACCACCAGTCTGCCGCCCCGATTTCTTGATTCATCGTCAGAGTTCATGGAGAAATTCCTCGTAGATGTAGAGACGGTGGAGAGCGAGAGACAAGCGGAGACACCTCCACGGGGAGAGAATTGAATGGTTTAGCACTGGGGACGGTGGAGCGGTGCAGAGAGCCGGTGACGGTAGAGTGGTGGAGAGCACTGGGGAGTGGTGATGGTAGAGGCACCACATAGGGATTTGGAGTTGCGGTTGTTTCCATTTCGTACTATGGATTCAGATACTCGAGCGCCTTTCAAAATTTTATGTCCATTTGTTTTATAATATATAAATTTTATAACAGTAAAACGGTGTCACTTTGGTGCAAATGTTACTTTTCTGGATAGTGCATGGAATCACATAGAAACGCTGTAAAAACGAGTTTTGGTATGATTTTATCGCTTTTACCGTTTTTTACATATAGTTTTAACGATTTTGTGAGCAAAACGATTTTAGGTGGAATCTGAATCGTTTTAGTGACCAAGATACGTAAAAACGTACGTTTTTACGATTTAAAGCGCTATTTTGACTACATTGTGTAGGTTAATATTAGATAGGGTAGAGAGTGAGTTAAAATGAAACTACTTAATTTCGGTCAGTAAATTAACTACACAGTACACAGTATTGCGTTTTTTAATATATAATTTATTAATTTGTTATGAGGTGAGGTTTAATCGATTATATTCAATTTTGAGCACCCTCAGAGTATTGCGTTTTTTAATATATAATTTATTAATTTTTTAATATACCACAACGCATTTATGTACGCCAAAAAAAATCAAATAAATCACTACAAAATCAAGCCTCCTCATTAATTGAATAAAGCAGGCCACAAGTATAGTTTACTTGTGTCCTGCATCTCTAAACGAGATAGGGGCGATATTCTCTCACCAAAATTAAATTATACAATCTTGTCTAAGCTGTAATTAATTTTTATATCTCCATTCTATAAAAGTCCACTAAAATAATATAACAAAAAATTTTATTAGCCTGACATCATTACTCTAATCCCTCAGTTTCCTTCATTTTTTTAGCGCTTCCATATCTAAACAATCAGATCTCTTTCCATCCGTGCCCTTTCACATTCATCAGTTTCTGACTCTTTTCCCTTCCTTCCTTTTCATTCTATGATTTCATTGTTCACAATTCCCTGCCTCAAGAATAAAAAATGGCTCGCCTCCTCCCCTCTTCCGCACTCGAAGTAGAATTTGTCAACAAGATTGTTAACAACCCCCACCAAACGAATAACAAACGGT